TGGCAATTTAAAAATTGTGCTCAAGGTGGAGAAGAGATGTGTGAGGATTAGTAATGTCCATGATAAAAGGACAGTAGACCTATCTAACATATACATATAACCATCTGTAGGTGAGTAATTCTACATGATCTGAGAACATCTCTGCCTTTAAAGTAGGGGGATGTTGAAAACTCACGGACCTGAACCCTAAAGCCTTCTGGAAGAGGAGGTAAAGTTGTATTCTGTTCTGTTAAATTTAGTCAAGTATTTATTGAGCTGCTTCTTTATGTAGATACTTTGTGTAGATACTGCTGGGCTGTACAATTATGTGTACACAATATACTCAAATTAGTATATAAATAAGTGAATGAATGATGTCATCTTTGTACTCATTTATTCACTAATTTATTGAGCACTTATTGTATACTAGACACCAAATATTCTAGTTGGTAAGAATACAGTGGTGAGCCCTCTAGAAATTATCTCCACTCCTATGGAGTATAGATGTTAGTGAAAGACATCACAACAAATAAACATATAAATACATAATTACAAATTGGGTTAATTACATGAAGAAAAATAACAGCTCCTATGATATAACAACCATAGGGGTGGGATCAATTTTTATATTATTTCTTTTGAGATTTATTTATTTATTTTAGAGAGAGTGCGTGAGCTAGTGGGGGGAGGGGCAGAGAGAGAGGGGTTGAATCTCAAGCAGACTCCCCACTGATCATGGAGCCTGATGCGGGGCTCGATTCCACAACCCATGAGATCATGACCTGAGCCAAAATCATGAGTCTGATGCCCAATGGACTGAGCCACCCAGGTGCCGGGGGTGGGATCAATTTAGATTGTATGCTCTGGGAGGAACTTTAAGTCCAAGAAGGATGAATAGGATTAGCCAGGTAAGAATTGGAGCATGGTAGAGATAGGGTTGGGTTGGAGCATTGCAAGTGAGGAAGACAGAATTCGTTTGTCAGATTGGGAGTTGGAGGACTGGGAGTAGGTTGGTATCTTTTGGATCTGAAATAACACTAGTGTGGCTAAAATGCAGAGAGGGAGGAGTAGAGTTGCACAAGAAGTAGAGAAGTTGGCAGGGCTTCTTGAATATCCTGATTCAAGTTCCCAAATTCTCAAGTTTCATTAACTCTTAATTAGAAGAAAAAATAGAGATTGATTTGTGACTTGAAAAAGTGTGGGGGAAAAGTTGATGAATTAGCACATAATTGGTTTATCTATAACATAGGGAAGTTGGGTGTTGTGTTGGGAAAGAATGTGGGCTTTGGAGTTAGAACTAAGTTTGACCCTGCTCTGCTGCTTAGTGGTGGTTGTGGCCCTGGTAAGCTCCTAAACATCCCTGAGCTTCTGTTTCATTATCTGTAAAATGGAGATAGTGGTACCCTTTTACTGTGAGAATGAAATTAAATAAAATACATACATAAAGCCCTTAGCAGAGGACCTGGTTCAGACTGAATGGTCAGTAAACTGTACCTGCTGCTGTTCCTCCTCCTCCTTCTCAAGGCAGAAGGACAACAGCCAGATTGTCTATAAAATGTGAGCTAAATGAACCTAATGGACAGGCTAATGCATGCACAGACTGGCATGCTTGTAGTGACTTTAGACTGTTTCATATGAGGAGTTCTCAGTGAAAGGGTGGGAGTCTTTGAGTTTGTCCCCATGAGAGTTGAAAGCCAGAAGTCTTTTGATGATGGAAGGCTTGTATGTACTGTTGGAAAACTGGCTTTGCATTTCAAAGAAAGACAATAGCATAAGCCTAAATTCATTATGAAAAGCCATAATAGAGTACTTTATGGCCTTTTCAGAGAATATCACATAATTATAGTAAAGTAAAGGCTTTGAAAGAAAGATTCTCTGAAAATGCTGACATATAATCTTAAAAACACAGGCTTCCCTTTATTTCATAAATAATTCTGTAGTTAACTAAGTGCGAGCAAGAGAAACTGTTTGGGATAAACTGTTGTGTATGTGTCTGTGGTTCACTTTATTATTAATATGGAAATACAGCCAAATTCTACCGTAACACAAAATATTGAAGTCCAAAAGCTTCAGTTATATTTTTGGAGGATAATGAAACAACTCCTAGGTAGTTATTTGGGTGTTCTGAGTATGTGGAAAGCAATCACCAATTGTGTTTTATCCCAACTCAGGTTACTGGGGAGTATATTTGAATGCTAATGACATGTCAAAGAATTTTTAAAATGATAGTGAAGATTTTTTGGAAAGAGAAAATTGGGAAGAACATTCGTTGCCTTTGATTTAGTTATTCATAGAAAAATGCAGTATGTATCACTAAACTTTTTTGACTATGATTCATAAGAAGAGATACATTTTATTTATTTATTTTTAAAGATTTTATTTATTTGTCAGAGAGCGTGCACAAGTAGGGGGAGCTGCAGGCAGAGGAGAACCAGGCTCCCTATAAGCAAGGAGCCCGACACAGGACTCGATCCCAGGACCCCAACGCAGCCACCCAGGCATCCCAAGAGATACATTTTAGTTTGTGAACATTACCTATATACAAATAGGAAACTAAAAAGTTTTATGAAACAATATACATTTCCTGTATTTTCTATTATGTTCTATTTCAGTTTTTAAGAAAATGCTTTATGTAGTTTACACTAATTTTATGACCTAATAGGTCACAAGTTGCAGTTTGAAAAACACTGCATCAAATGACTGTATTAATTGAACTTCAGAAAGGAATTCCAGGTTATTCCAGAAGGTATAAAACCAGCACAATTTTCCTAGTAGTATATTCCACACCATTAATAATAGGTGATTAACAGGTGCCAATCCCATATCATCTGGCTGCATTGGATGGTCTTTTAAGAAAGAAATAGAGAAAGAGAGAGAAAAAAATGAGGGAGGGAGGGATGCATGAACTCTCAATGATACGTAAGAATTTAATAATACGAGTTGGGGTGCCTGGCTGGCTTGGTCAGTGGAGTATACGTATGGCTTAATTTTTGGGTTGTAGGTTCAAGTTCCACATTGGGTGTGGAGATTACTTAAAAAAAATCTTAAAAAAAAATAACAACATGAGTTGCTTGAGGGACAGAGAATTGGGTATCTTTAGGTGGAGGTAGTGAAAAGACACTTTACTGTATTTCATTTTTCATTGTTTTAAAATTTGAACCATGTGAATATATTCTATATATTAAATTTAAAATAATAAATTCTGCTTCTACATTATTAGAGAAGAAAGAGGGGAGGGGGCCTCCAGTTTGGATCTGGGTTTGTTCAGTAAGGATTGCTGCAATAGATTAGCAGTGTCTTTCACAGGAGTGGGAGATAATAACCTTTATGCTCTGTTTGTTGCCCCTGATCTAGAGGAGCTACACTGACAGTTCTATAAAAGAATGTTTAGAAGATTGACTAAGAAGGGTTAATTTGTGTCCCATTCTCTGCTTCTTGTAGGGGGTTATACACTTCAGAAATTTTTTTTTCAAGAGAACATGGCTAATTTGAACATTTCAGTACTTAAAAGAAGTTTAAAAAATTTTTTAACTTATTTAGAAATAATTTCAAACTTAGCAAAAAATTGTATAAATAAGAAAGATATACATAATACCTATTCCCAGATTCACCTTTTGTTAACATTTTACCCCATTTAGTTTATCATTTTAATCTGCCTACCTGTCTATCTGATTTATTTTTGTCTGAATCATTTGAGAGAAACTTAAAATACCATGCCCCTTTATTCCTCACTACTTCGAAGTGTATTTTCTAGGATTAAGGATATTCTCTTAACTATGGTACAGTTATCAGCTCTAGTAATATTGATATCCTACTTTACCGCCTGTTTTCCATTTTTGTCAGTTGACCCAGGGATGTCCTTTATAGCATTTTCCCCCTCTGTGGCACAGGATCCAGACTAGGGTTAGGTATTGGCATTTAGTTGTGTCTCTTTAGCTTCCTTTGATCAGAAACATTTACACAGCCTTTATTTTTTCTTTACAACATTGAGATTTTTAAAGAATATAGCCCTTCCCCTTTTTAAAATAGAATGTTGATCATTTCGATGTTCTTTCATGATTAGATTCAGATTATGCATTCTTGGCTAGAATACTTTATAGCTGATATGTCTTTCTGAGGATATCACAACTGAAGGCACAGGAAGTCCATCTACCCCTCATTAGTAATGTTAGAGTGCTCAGTCAAGATGTTTTCTAGTTTCTGCTGTATAATAAATATTTTCCCCTTGCAACAAATAAGACATTTTAAAACTATGCAAAATTTCCTGCTTCTCATCAAAAGTTCCACCTGGATTCACCATTCATTGATTGTCCTTGCTTGATTCAGTCTTTACTACGTTGGTGGCAAAATGCTGATTTTTCCAGTTCTAGGACTACCTATACATTTACCAGTTGGTACTCAGCATTCTGCTGTAAGCAAGAGTTCTCCTTTCTACCCCACTTATTTTATTTGTTGTTGTTATAAACTCCTAAATTACTCTTATTTCACCAGTGGTTCATAATTCATTATTATGTGAAGTAGAGGATTTGATTCTGGAATCAGTGGATGACATCAGGAGGTCAGTGACCAACCTGAAATTGTGTGCCAGGTTTCGTGTTTGGACAGTTTTCTGAGGAGAGTGTCCATAACTTTAATCAGAATCTCTAAAGAGTTCTTGATTCAAACAAGATTAAGTTCCACTAGGTTGAATAGTTAAGTGTTAAGCTATCTGTAACCCTTACATATTTGTATATTCTTTTCCCTGCTTTCTACCCCAAGTGATAAATAACTGAAGTGTTAGAATTATAGTATGTGTCCTTCTGTAGGTACATTCCATTTTTTTGTCTACTGTTTTTAACTGCAACTGAAAGTAGTATTATATTTTGGTTTCTTTAATTTTTTTTTGCTGGAATATATAATAAATGTTAATATCTTCATTGCCACTGTAGCAGCAGTTTATGGTGTATAGAACCAGTCTTTTGAAGCAACGAATTACCTTGATTTAATTTGAAATTTTAAAACCAATGTTTTTTACACTGTAGTTTTATTAGTTCTCTGGGAGTGAGCTACATGATGTTGTGCACTGAAAATTACCCGAATGTTCTGGCCTTCTCTTTCCTGGATGAGCTTCAGAAGGAGTTCATTACTACTTATAACATGATGAAGACAAATACTGCTGTCAGACCATACTGTTTCATTGAATTTGGTAAGGGCCTGATTTTTTTTTCTTTTTCATTATCCTGTCTCCATCCAATCATAAGCGATTTTTCATGTAATACTGGGGACCAGGGGAAGAACTCAGAAAATTCTGCTACCTTGCTTTTGATAGAATAATTTGACAGATGGTCTATAAATTATGGCAACTTCTTCATTTAGGTGCCTATTTGAAAAAAAATGTGTTTGGGCTGCGGAGGGGATCATGATTATTGGCACAAAGAGTTAATCCCAGAGGACAGTTTCTCAATGAGAAATTTATAAGCCAGAGATTCAGAGTTCTGTGTTTATGTGATAATCTTTTATAGTCTGCTTAATGTAGAATGGAGGTTGGCAAACATTTGCTGGAAAGTACCAGATAGTACATATTTTAAGCTTTAAGGACCATATGGTCGCTGTCACAACTACTCAGCCCTGCCATTGTGGCTTGAAAGCAGCCATAGGCAATACATAAATGAATGAGTATAGTTATATTCCAATAAAAGTTTATTTCCATAAGCAGTCAGCAGGCTCAGTTTGGCCTCTGGGCATTAGTTTGCTTGACTTCTGGTGTAGGAGGAGAAAAAAGTAAAACCAAGTTGTAAGTAATGAAAGTAAAATTGGAAGATATTTAGAAAATGTCTTTTATTGATTTCATTAAATTTGTTGTTTAAAACATACATTCTAATGGTGTAAGCAATAAATAAAACAGGTTTATAAGAACATGCAATTTGCAGTATATGTTCTTATGTAATTACAATTGGTAAATACTGACAGACTTAATATTTTATGAGAGATGAATCCCTATAAAAATTAAGACTGGTTTAAAAATAAAGCAAGCTGTTTTTGTTTTTTCTAAAAATTTAAAGTAATTCCTTGAAGAGAATATAATAGTAGAAATTGTCTCACAATCATGTAGTGTTAAATCCTTATTTTATTTATAATTATTTCTAGAATATAATTTCTAGAATGAAACACTGATGACTCCATGATGTATTAACTATTAAACACAAATAATATTTGAATATTCAATGACAAATTGAATAGTTTTGGACAACAAATTAAACTGTTGATCTGCAGAATTCCATAAATGTCACACTCTCAAATTATTTAATTAACAAATGACTGCAAGGAAATTTATTTTTTATTTTACATAGATAACTTCATTCAGAGAACCAAGCAGCGATATAATAATCCCAGGTCTCTTTCAACAAAGATAAATCTGTCTGACATGCAGATGGAAATCAAGCTGAGGCCCCCTTATCAAATTTCCATGTGTGAACTGGGGTCGGCCAATGGAGTCACATCTGCATTTTCTGTTGACTATAAAGGTGCTGGTAAGATTTCTTCTGGTGAGTTATGGATCTCAATTATTTCATTAAAAAAAACTTTTGTAAGAACTGAGTAATTCTTGTAAATTAATTACTTTAATATTTTAAAGCAAGTACATGAGAGAATACAGAATTTTAAAGTAATTCTTGCAATGGTTTATAGAGTAATCTACTAGATATGTGACTAATCAGGAAAATACTTTTAAATAGCAGTCTCAGAGAAACTCTTTGCTAGGGAAGCATTTAAGAATTTTTCTTAATTGTTTCTTAAATATTTCTTCATAATTTGTTTTCAAGAAGTGAATAATAGTTTATTTGTAATATATATTTATGTACATGTAAAGTGCTTTGCATTATGTCAGAATGTTACATTCAAGGCCAGGTTTCTTGATTATCACAGAAAATGGAATTATCTACCCAAACCTATCCTACCATACAAGAAATACCATACTCAATAATTGTGACAGATAAAAATCTTCTGCTTAAAAATGGGAACCTCATTAGTGTCTAAGGTAGCATATGCCATTGTTGAATTGCTTGTTTAAAGAATTCCGTGTAGTACCAATTTGTTTGTCTAAGTTCTGCGACTTTTTCTCTGCTCTTCAGCTATGCCAGAATATCACTTCAGAACTTTGAAATCAGTAACTCTGTGTCCTTTCTATCCTATTACTCTGATTGACTTCAGATATAATCAGTTTCCTTAGCCTTTTGTTCTGTGACATTTTGAAACCCTCCCCATCCTGGAAGCTGCTTCTGTATGTGCTTTAGTTTGTTAGTATTCTTCAAATGAGGCATTCAGGACTGAACACAACATTTCTTGGGTTGATTATTTCAAATTATGGGAGAAAAGGGGATGCAATTTTTAGTAAAATAATCCAGTCAATCAGGAAACAAACACGGAAACAGGCAAATACCAGTAACAAGCCCCAGGAGAGAGGAAGCGGATCAGTACTCATAGTTGTTATGTTTTCTAAAATGTCCAGTCTCCAACAAAAAAATACAAGATATGCAGAGGAAGAGGAAAGTGTATATTTTTTTGTTGGAGGCAGTTTCTATTGCCTGCTTTTTCCCTTTGAGAGTGATCAGATGTCAGATTTTTTTAAAAAGATTTTATTTATTTATTTAACAGATGCAGCGAGAGAGGGAACACAAGCAGGGGGAGTGGGGGTGAGAGAGAAACAGGCTTCTCGTGGAGCAGGGAGCCCAATGCAGGGCTTGATCCCAGGACCCTGGAATCATGACCTGAGCTGGAGGCAGACGCTTAAGGACTGAGCCACCCACATGCCCCCAGATGTCAGATTTAACAAAGACTTTGAAGTAGTCATTATAACTCTGTTCAGAGAACTAAAGGAAACCATGATTAAAGAAGTAAAGGAAATATCACAATGATGTTGTATCAAATAGACAATATCAATAAAGAAATAGAATCCTATATCCAGCAAAGCTGTTTTTCAAAACTAAGGTGAAATAAAGACATTTACAGAGAAGCAGAAGCTGAGAGAATTGTTGCTGGCAGACTCCTCTTGCAAGAAATACTAAAGGAAGTTCTTTAGGCTGAAAAGTGATCTAGACAGTAATTTGAATCCACACCAAAAAAATCAAAGAGCAACAGGAAAGGTAATTATAAGACAGTCATTTTTCTTCTTCTCTCTTTTGTAAAAAGCAAGTGTATAAAACTAATGTATTGTTGGGCCTATAACATATAGAAATGTAATATATATTTTTCATAAGAACACAAAGGAGCTGGATGGGAGCAAAACTACACTGGGCTAAAGAAATGACTCCAGATAGCAATTTGAATCCACAAGAACAAATGAAGAAAGCCAGAAGTGATAAGAATTCATATTAATAAAACTTAAAAAAATATAATTGCTATCCTCTTAGCTACTCTAAAAGACATAAAATTATGTAAAGTAATAATTGTAACAATGTATTTTGGGGTTTGCAATGTTTATAAATGTAATTTGTATACAACAACACCACAAAAAGGAAAGAAAAGGAGTAGAGCTCTATAGGAGTAATGTTTCTATGGCTAATTGGAATTAAGTTAGTATAAATACAAAGCTATTTCTGTTAAGATGTGTATGGTAAGTCCTAGAATAGCCACTAAGCAAATCACTCAAAAAATAGTGAAAATCATTAAAGAAATTAAAGTGCTGCAGTATAAAACATTCACTTAATGCAATGATAGAGTCAAGGAGAAATAGAGCAAAAAAGGGCATGAGACATATAGAAATAGTAAAATGGTGTATGTAAATCTGCTATGTCAATAATTAATGAGATTGGATTTTAAAATGTGAGTGGATGAAACATTCCAGTCAAAGTTGGAGATTATAAAAGTGGATTAAAAAAAAAGATAGAAAAAGATTCAAAGTAAAAGGAATAAAAAAAAAAATACAATGCAAATAGCAACCAAAAGAGAGGTGGAGTGGCTTTTTGATATTAGACAAAATGGGTTTTAGGACAAAAATTGCTACTGAAGATAAGGACATTTTATAGTGATAAAAAGTCCATCGATTTAATGTGTAGCAATTTTAAACATAGGTGCATTTAACAACAGAGCTCCCAAATACATGAAGCAAAGCCTGCCAGAAATGAAGGGAGACATAGGCCAACAGTAATGGTTGAAGACTTAATACTCAACTTTCAACAATGGATAGAACTAGGCAGAAGATAAACAAGGAAACAGAAGATTTGAACAACGCCATAAACCAGCTAGATCTAACGACTACAGAACACTTAATATTACAAAATATATTCTTAAGCGTACATGGTACATTCTCCCCCAGGATAGACTTTATGCTAAGCCATTATAAAACAAAAACTTTGTAAACTTAACAGGCTAAGAATAATACGAAGTATATTCTGTAACCACAGTGGAATGAAATTAGAAATTAATAACAAAAGAATTTGGGAAACTCATAAATATATGGAAATTAAACAGTACATCTAAATAATAAATGGGTCAAAGAAGTATTCAAAAGGGGAATTTATACTTGGAGACGAATGAAGATGAAAACATGATATAACAAAATCTGAGATGCAGCTAAAGTTGTACTTAGAGGAAATTTTATTGCTATAAATACCTATATTTTTTAAAAAGGAAGATCTCAAATGAATACTTTAACCATCTGCCTAAAGATACTAGAAAAAAAAAGCAAATTAAACCTAAAATAAAGAGGAGGAAGGAAATAATTAAGATTAGGGCAGAAATGAAAATGAAATAGAAAATAGAAGAATAGAGAAAAAGCAATAAAACCAAAAACTAGTTCTTTGAAAAGATAAACAAAATTAACAAACCTTTAGCTAGATTGACAAAAAAAGAAATTACTAGACTCAGAAATGAAAGGACATTTCTATTGATCTTACAAAATAAAGGATTTTAAAGGAACACTGTGAACAGTTTTATGTCAATGAATTAGACAACTTTGAATGAAATGGGCATATTCTTAGAAATACACAAAATTTTAAAAACTAAAAATGGATCAAAGACCTAAATTTAACCACTAAAACTATACAACTCTTAGAAGAAAACATAGATGTAAATCTTTGTGACTTTGTATTAGACAGTGTTTTTTTAGATTTGACACCAAAAGCACAGTGAAAAAAAAAAAAGGTGGGCTTGATTGACGTTCAAAAAAAATTTTTTTTTTAAATAGGCTTTACGGTCAGTGTGGAGCCCAATGCAGGGCTTGAACTCACAACCCTGAGATCAAGAACTGAGTTGAGATCAAGAGTCAGACAGAGTCATACACTTAACACTTAACTGACTGAGCCACCCAGACATCCCCAAAGTTAAAAATTTTGTTCTTCAACAGACACTGTCAAAAAATTGAAGATAATCCACAGACAAATCATGTATTTCCTAAGGGATTTGTGTCCAGAATATATAACACAACAATAACAATAAAAAGATAATAATCCAATTTTAAAATGAGAAAAGGATTTGAATAACTACTTCTACAAAGAAAATGTGCAACTGGCTAATTAACACATGAAAAGATGTTCCACATTATTAGTCATAGTGAAATGGAAAGCAAAATGATAAGGAGATTCCATTTCACACCCACTAGGATGGCTGTAGTTTTAAAAAATAGTAGCAAGTATTAGCAAGGATATGGAGAAATTGGAACCCTCCTATAATGCTGGTAGGGTTGCGAAATGGTGAGCTGCTTTGGAAAATACTTTGGAAGTTCCTCAGAAAGGTAAATGTAGAGTTACCATATGACCTCACAATTCAACTCGTAGGTACGTACCCCAGAGAGTTGAAAATGTAAGTGTGAATAAAAATGTGTACATGAATATTTATAGCACTGTTATTCATAGAAGCCAAAAAGTTGAAATAACCCAAACATCCATCATCTAATGAATAAACAAAATATGGTGTATGCATGCAACAGAATATTAAGGAGTAAAAAAGGAATGAAGTATTGATGCATGATACAACATGGATGAACCTTAAAAGCATTATGCTAAGTGAGAGAAGCCAGATACAAAAGGCCATATATTTATAGTTTCATTTATACAAAATGTCCAGAATAGGCAAATCCATAGAGACAGAAAGTAGCTTAATGGTTGACAGGAGCTGGAGGGGTACAGGGAAATAGGCAGTGACTACTAATGGTTTTGAGATTTCTTTTTGAGGTGATGAAAATTGTGGAATTAGATAATGATTGCACAATTCTGTGAATACTAAAAACTTCTGATTTAATATACTTTTATTTTTAGGGAGAGCGCATGTGCGCTTGTGAGTAGGGGCAGGGCAGAGAGAGAGAGAGAGAGAATCTTAAGCAGGCTCCAATGCTCAGTACAGAGCCCAGTGTGGGGCTTGATCTCATGACCCTGAGATCATGGCCTGAGCCGAAATCAAGAGTCGGATGCTTAACTGATTGCACCCCCCAGGTGCCCCTGAATTATATACTTCTAAAGGGCAAATTTTATTGTATTCAAATTATATTTCAATTTTTAAAATCAGTAATAAATGAGAGGGTTATTACTTTGAGACTTCTACTTCCAGTAGT